CCCCAAAACCCCAAAACCCCAAAACCCCAAGAAATAAATAAATGAATGAATAATAGATTGAGAATTACATTTAAATTTTAATAATATAAAATCAAGCTATGATCAAATGTATGATGAGTTTCAAAGTATATATTTTTATACGCTTTAGATTTAGATAATCCGAGGATGCATGATATTACTCATCATTTGATAACTACATCTAAGAATTTATTCCAATCAGCTGGTTTGAATCTACTCAGCATCATCGCTAGTACTTTTATTTCCTTAATAATCTTTTCCTTTATATGCAGCTCTTCAACCCAGTTTTTGTCATTTGGGCCTAAATCGATTTCTAATAAACATTTCTCAACTAGATTGTAAAAGTCGTAATCGCTCTTCATTTTTTGACGGCCATACTCGTACTCTTCTTTCAGGAGTTTGAGCTATTGACCTTGCTTGGTAGCAGGATCGAACATATTAGGATAGAAGAAACTGCAAATTTATTTATCATCATTTTCAAGTGATTGCAGTATGAGCAGAGAAGGTATAATGAAGAAAATTTCAGAATCTCTTTACTCTAATTGCTCAGCAAACTGTTTATGCTTTTCAGCTGTAGCCTCTATTACTGATGAGAAATGCAATAGTTAATGGCATTTCTTATTGTCTAGGAAATAAGTTAGCCCTTGAGACCAGCTGTTCTCGAATTCAACTAAGATTTCTACTAATTCCTAGTTGTTTTTTAGCTATGGATCAACAATTTCAATGTTAGATTCATATTTTCTAAGTAATGCTCGGAAATCTTGAAAGCTCTTTTTAATTCTCTCGGCTAGACCTCTTACAGCCTTAGACTGAGTGGGCGAGATTCGACGGAAGATTCCTTCTGCTGCTAGTAAGATTTCATTGCCGAGATCATCTCTGCCCATGCCCTCTGGATTTGCAACAGAATTTATTTTCCCTAAAATTTGAATGACCTTTGTACGTTTTGCAGTGTATTCAGCAGAATCTACAACGATTCTACCTCTTGATTTTTCTTTGATTTCTATTTGAGCAAGTTTTTTCTCGCATTCAATAGCCTCTGTAATATACCTTCTAGCATCTGCCTCTATCAGCATCAGCTCCAGTACATATATCTACTCATAAGCAACCCAGGTTGAGTCAAACTCTTCAAGGTGCTTTGCCATGTCCTCAATAATTTCTTAAACAGTAACATTCACAGTATCCTCAATAATTCTCTCATAAATATTTCTAATTATACTTTGTATTATTCTGAATTGTTAAAACAACTTGCGACCAGCATCTAAAACTTCCTGAGAAAATACATATTTCTCTCCGTTTACCCATAGATATGGAAACCCTTCTTAAGCAGAATCTAGTATCTCAGTGAGGTAGCAAAGGCTACCTTCCTTATACAGGACTTTGTAAGCTTTGGAAAATTACTCTCGGTAACTTCTATGTGCACAGTTAGCTTTAAATACTTCGCAAAGTCTCTCTACTTAGTTTAAAAATCTTTTGCAGGCTCTTTATCCGTCTTCAGAGTCTAAATCATATTTCTCATCCTGGCGTTATTTTAAGTGGTCGCTCATCATCACAGTATTTTCAAGGAGTAGGAAGTCTGAGCATCATCTGAATTCCTCAATTTCTGTTAAAGGTCTTGGTGGAGCTGAAGAAGCTCTCATCGGGATAAGTTTAGGAAATTCAAACTCGTCTTCTGATTGATATTGGTTGTGCTTTCCATTTATGATACTTTTATCTCTAATTAACAGAATTAAATAGATAAGATAGATACCCATCAGAGTCGCCTTCTTCTTCAGAACTATCTGAATACCTGTAAGGGTACTGGTTGTTATTATTCTACTGCATTTGCATTTTTTTAATAAAAAATTAATTTTAATAAAAAGAATATACCGTGAGTTATAAACTTCAATTCCCTAAATGTCTTATAAACTCTGAGCTACCTTTTACTTCAATTTCAATTATTATTAAAATTTTATCTGAATAAGTTAGCAAAATGGATTAATCCTCTTTTAAAGATTACTCGAGAAATGATTCTATTATAAACAAAGGGTCATAAAATTAATCAAGCAGCGAACGTCTACACTCTATTTTAACATAAAAATCTAGCTCTCGCATTGGTTGACTCAACAAAAACACTTAATAGATAGCAATCAAATAACTTATTAATGAAGACATTTTCACAAAGGATTTTAATCGTAAAATTGCTTGATAAGATGGACGTAATTTGTAAACCATTAGGTTTAAAAAAGATTTAAAATTAGAAGAGATCATACAGCAAAGGAACATTCTCAATGAAAAAGAAGTGATTGAAAATGTTTTGAAACAAATGAAAAATAAAAATCTAAAGTTTACTTAATTTGAGAAAGATCATGTTTTGTAACTACACAAACCACTTGAAAGAAGAGAATAAAGCATCATTGAAAACATTTCTAAGAATGAGGATGAAAAGTCTTTAATTGATGAAGGTATTTTCATTTTAAAGAGATATACTTATTTTGAATTTAGACCAAGGTGGATCAGATAATGAAAAAAAGGATGAGCCATCAAGAGTAGGGGATTCTGATGATAAAAACTCAACTTAATTGATCAAGGCCAAAAAAGACTCAAAGCTATCTTAATCCCCAAAAGCATACAAATATTACTATGAGAAGTACTTGTTTCATGATAGAAATATGACTTTAGATATCTAAAAAAATAAAAGAGCTTATTTTTCATCCTTCAAAAGTGTGCCAAGGGAAAGACAAGAGTATGTAGATAATGTAACTTAAATGATATTTAGTTAAATCCTAAATTTAGAAAATGAAATATGCAATCCCAGGGGTTGGCAAGTATTATCCTAAGTTTAAAGTTACAGAACAGTAAGTATATAAATATTGCCTTACTTTTTATATCTAGTATTGAACCCATAATTTCAATGACTAAGGCAGAATTAAATAGAACAAGAAATCTATTAATAGTCGATACTCTTAATTAAAAACCTCGAGTCTCTCAAAGCCCTTCCTAAGAATACATTGATAAAAGACATGGCCATCATAATAGTATACACACATTGGAGGATTTAAGATCTAAATCAACAATACAAAAAAAATAAAAAACTCTTGATCTTACTAAAAATTAAAGATAAAAGGAAAAGAGTGAATTGGTTATAGACGATCATGATTAATCTTTCAATGATAGTTCAAACATTCTTAATCCTAGTCCTTATAAAAATGCTTCAATAATTCATTAGAGTAGTAGTTCTATTAAAAATTCTCCGAGTCCTTAAAAAATGAGACAAGGTTGGGACAATGCTCATGGCATGTTGGATCTAAATAAATAATCTGAAAGGAAATTTGTCTTTGAAAATTTAATCAGGATCAATGAACACAGATTTGACTACATATAACTGCCAGTAATTTACAGTAAGAATAGAAAGGTGGTAGGGGATGCTAATTTTGGGAAAGGATCATCTAGAAAAGATCTATTTAAATTGCCTGAATATTAACCATCCTACAATGCAAACTATGAAATTACTTAGAGAAAAAATCCTCAATTGGTTAATATGAACGTTAAGTAAATGAAGGAAATATATCACAATATTCAATGAGCTAGAAACTTTTGTAAGATTCATTTGGTATCAAATAATTTTACCGAAAAAGGAGTAGATATAAGTAATTAAGAAACTCCATACCAATGAATTTATGTTAATGTAAAAAGGCTGATTGACTTTAGGATGTTTACATATATATATTGTTTGTGAGTATATTTAAATTTAATTTAATACCATAATATAGATATTGGTAAATACTTATGTTAAAATAACTTTATTAAAATAAGTTTATCAATATAAAGATTGAGGCTTTGAGGATACATAGGCTGAAATATTGGGGATACGTATAACCTTGGGTACTTGGTCTAGTGGTATGATTCCCGCTTCGGGTGCGGGAGGTCCCGGGTTCAATTCCCGGAGTACCCCTTACTTTTTGAGAATTAATACTAACAATATAATTCACAGATATAGACTTATTACTAAATTAATAATTTATAAATATAACATAGATCAATCACAAAATCAGCGCTTTCTTGTTCGTGTTTACAATATTGAAGTTATTCTAAGTAGCATTTTAAATCTTAGCCTTCATTTCTAAAGTTAAGTTAGATTTTCAATTAGATCTTACCTTATTTGTTAATTATGTTGGATTGATAGCCAGAATGAGAATTTGTTGCTGTGCTTTAATGCGATTACTCATTTATACTATTATTGCAAGCAACAGGGCCAACATTATTTCTAGGACTGGATGGCCTCTTATTTGAAATATGATTACTTGGAGCAGGCTTACTCATATTATAGAAGGTCTTCGTTGCAATAGCCGAATTAAAGCTGATTGGGACAACAAAATTGTTTTGGAATACTGGTATATTACTCTGTTTCATATTTGTATTGTAATTATTAGAAAGAAATCGATTATGCTTATGAGGATTATAAAATCTACTTTAAGTAGAATTTGGTCCAGTAAAACTGTTATTCATGTTTTCATTTGATATAAGACTTGCATTTTCTGAGATATTATAGTCAAAACTTTAATTGCCACTTGGTCTGTTTGTAAACTAATTTGTTAATTTAGCTTATTTCTTAGGTCTGTAAATTGTATACATCTTCTGGTCTCCACCTTACCGTTGATCTGTAATGCTTGAATAGCTGTTATCTTGGTTAGTTTAACCGATAGGTTAAGTTTAGTTTAATTCATAAGACGCCTCGCTAACGATGTTATTGGAGATATTTCTGTTTTAATTCCTATATTTTCTTACTTTTTGTTAAGCTAAAGCTTTAGAAATAACTGTATTATTATTGGAAATAGGATGAAAATTAGTAGTTGTAGCTTGAATTATATTGCTTGGATTATTTGTGCTATTATTCAAATTTGTATTTGGAGTTGTCTTGTATTACGTCGTGATAAGAAAACTGTTCTCTTATTTCTTCTAATCTTTTATTTGAATAGGTCTCATTGTCTGATTATCACTATTAATTGATCCTTCTGCTAAAACTACATGTTGTTTATTGATCAAATTATTCAATTTATTAAGGTAAGGGTTATTGTACATTGTTTATCTCATGTTTGCTGATTTATTATTATTAGATCTCTATACATTTGGAAGAATTTCTTGGATTCTTGAATCATTAGTAGAGGCAATAATCATATTTCCAAGATTTTCATCGATACTTGAGGGTCTATTATTCTAATGATTATTTTTTCTAAGTCTATCTGCCATAAATAAGGTCTAATTATTATTTAGGGGAGCTCCAGCAGAAGCAGTCATCTTATCTTTGGCTTCTAAACTAATTATCTTACTATCAGGCGATTAACTTTAGGTAGCCCTAATGACTCCTTAGTATTGCCTTTATTAGAATGCTTTAGTTTCAAAGCCATTTCCAGATTTAGTTGGACGATCTTAAATTTATTGAATCTATGCGTAGTTCGTCAAACTATCTGAGGCTCTTGTTTGCCCAGTAGATTCAGTCCTCTTTGTATAGATTTTATCCATTTATTCAAGATAAATCTTTGTCACAGGGTTGGTTATTTAATCAGATTTTCTTTAGTTTTTTCCATCAGACTTTGTAGAGTTTTAAGCCATTGCTCTTGAAAATCCACTAGAAACTGTTTAGTTTAGAGACATTTTCTAAGGTAAATTTATCTTGGTTTAAGGTGTGCCAAAGCTCATCTATGAAGTACTGTTCATATTATTCAATTTGCGCTTCTCCTTGTTGAATAACTCAAATAAATGATTTTTTCCTAAGTCTCGATCCATTTTCTTAACAATTAGATAGTATGTTGAAGTCACCTGATTATGCTTATTATTCAGAACGAATTACAAATTTTAAGGATTTGATTCAGGCCCAAATTGATCTACTAGTTTGGTCATTACTTCCTCAATCACAGGGATTTTATCCTTTCCAACAAGAATTCCTTCAGTTTAAATGAACTTTACCTGATTAAACCATTCATGAGCTTTCACATCTTTCATTGAAATCCTAGTGTTTGGATCAGTATTCAATATTTTCTTGATTAAATCTTTGCATTGAGCCGAGATAAATCCTGGAATCAAATAATCACAGCTCAAAATTTTCTTATATAATTTATTTGTATTGGGATCTTCGAAAGGCAAATAACCACACGCCATTGCATAGAGTATGATGCCACAACTCCATGTATCAGATATAAGCCCTTAATATTTCTTGCCAGCAATCATTTCAGGTGCTGCATAACAAGGAGATCCACATGCAGTTTTAAGAGTGTCTCCTTCCTTGTAGATGTTTGATAAACCAAAATCAACTATTTTGATATTGTTCCTTTCATCTAGTAAAAGATTTTCTGGCTTCAAATCTCTATGGCAAATCCTTAATTTATGTATATATTCGACCCCCTATATTATCTGCTAGAAAAATTTGCATGCATCAGTTTCTTATAACCTCTTTCTTTTAACTATAAAATCAAAGAGTTCACCTCCACTTGCATATTCCATAATCAAAAATAGTTATCTTGATGTTTCAATTATCTATAAGTAAAAAAAAGTTAATCTAACTGGCCAATTAATAATGAGATTTTACTTACCTCGTAAAGTTAAATGACATTTGGATGTCTAACTATTTTCAGTATATGTATTTCTCTAGTCACTCTTTCGACATCAGATTAGTCTTTAATTTTGTCTTTTTCTAGAATTTTAATGGCCACCTTTTCTCCTGTCAGCATGTGTGTACCTAGCCTGACTTTTCCAAAAGTTCCCTAACCCAAAGACCTACCTTCAAGATATAAATTTTGTTAATTTACCAACAATATAATGCCCTATTTAGCGAGAACCTTATCCATTAGCGGGCTTTGTAGTATTTTACGTTTCTTGAGTTTTATTATCCTTTCCTTCATTTGAATTTTTCTATGCTATTTAATCTGTATTTTGATCATTCTTTGATTGTTTTTGCTGTCCAGTCTAATCTTAATCGTTTTCCATTGAAATAAAATCAACCCTTTATAATAATTACTATTTTTACTTACTTAATTTTTAATAATTTTACTATTATATTCATCAAGATTTTTAGTTTAGGGGTTTTGGGGTTTTGGGGTTTTGGGG